TTCATCCATCGTTCTTACATTTACATGTCTATTTTCGCATCAAGAAAACTTGAAAATAGAAAATAACATTAACTGCATAGAATGAGGTGTGTGTAAGATCTCTATTGGTGACAAATGGAGTTATTTTAGCCACTGATATGTTTTTCCCTCATTAGCCACCAATAAGCTTTCTTATCCATCTCATTGTGTAAGTACAACTGAGGCTAGCTAACATGGTTATGTTACCGTAATACTACACTTTTCATATTTTTCATGCAAATATGATATGAAAAACACGGTAAGAGTAGCATTCTAAGATGGTTATTATCATGTCTTTATTGCAGGGATCGTGCTTAAATTTTTTTATTTTTCAATTATTATTGCATTAACCAAATTGTATTTCACCAAAGGTAACTGTAAGCGGCTAGCTACTCTAAAAAAAAAATTTGCACTCGTTCTTCATAAAACATAAAAAAAAAAATACGCACAAAAAGGACATGATAATATATGTATTGAAGTGTCGATCACATCTGATTACAGTTGAAAGAAGATCCAGTTGATTAAAAACACTTACTTTGAGCTTCTGACTTTGCAGCGATTTTGGTGTACCTCTGGGATGAACTCGACGAAGAAAAACGCTTCATCTCAACAATACCAGTCCAAGCCTTGGAAGATGATACTGCTACAAAAATATTGCACACAGAGACACAGGACGTCTTGTCAAAGGCTAGCAATTGGAAGAAACCCATAATAATACGTTCTGTTCTTGTTACCTTGAGCATCCATATCGTTTGTTTCTTGTGTGCAACATAGAATTAAAGGACAATCCTCAGATACTGCAAGGAGCGTCTCATCAGCCCTTATAAACACTACTTTCTTTTCTCGCAAAGTTGATAAACATTTTGAAGGAATAATTAATTTGGATTTAAACTTGGATGTAAGGGTGGTATTCGAATTTCCAGAGTTCATGGTTTTATTACTTATCTTAGCAGTTTGTTAATTATTTAGATTTTCTAGCATCATCTAAAGAAATATATTTATAGAAATACCTTCAATTTGCAAATCGTTTAACCATTCATATGTATTAAACAAAGAGAGAGTTCATGTGAAGCCTGATTTTCTGTTTTTTTTCATTAACCATTTCACCTAAAAAAAGAAACAAGTAGTGAGGAGGCATAGAGCACAGCTTTAATGGAGGATACTCCATGAAAGGGTAATGTTAGGGAAACTTAATTTTGAAAACTAAAGGGCATGGAAGTTGATGATTGGTTTATTACTTAAGTGGTGATAAACGTGTTTATTCCCATTGGTGACAAATCATATAGTCTGCAAATTTAGTCTTCTTAGTGTTATCTCTCCATAGAAATGTCAAGGGCAACTCTAAGGGGGAACTGCAAAAAGTACAAGCAATGTCCATCACCATACACTTCTTACATAGATTTACAGTAGTAGGGAGAATGTCGACGTGCCTTCCAAAGCACAAATTTTGACTTGTTCGGAATATTAGCACGCGATACTTAACATGTCAATTGCAAGAGGAAAATGGAGAGACAACCAAATTTAACATGAACCGTAGATGTAATTTTGTCAACGGTCTGCAAACATGATAGGGTTCTCAATCTGGTAATAAAGTGCATTTAGAAACCCAAGGCTCTTGCGCAATTATATCAGACCCTTTATCCGAAGGATCTCCATTTTTGGTTAAAAATGCAAACTAGTTATAGGGTTCACTTCACGTCGAATTTTAAAGATCTAAATCGTCTATTTTATAAATCTCGATTTATTAATCACAATGAATTTCATTGTTCCTTATAGAATAAAGTATTCGTCAATTTCTTTGAACTCAATTAGATATCTCAAATATTTCTGTTTTGGCCAATATTTTGCAAGAATAATCTATTGTGGTCCAACTTGTAAAATAAACAGTTTGGATCGTCAAAGTTCGAAGTGGTGTAGACCCCACAACTAATCTTCATTTAAAAAAAAAAAAAAAAAACATAGAAATCTCTTCTCTTAAAATCTACTTTCTACTGTCTGTCTTTCCTCTTAGAGTTCTTTTGTAATGTTATCTTTTCTTCGCCTTTATTAGCTTTTGCTTATGCCTTGGCATCTCTCAATCACCACACTTCTGATTTCACTAGAGGACTATATTTGTACGGCGGCGCAGCGAGTGCTTTTACCCTTCTACCTGTCATAGTGTCGGCCACGTTGGTTGCTATGGTGCTGTGTGCATGTTTTTATCAAGCGTGTCGATGATTTCTTCATGATGGACACCCTTTACCCGGAGGAGGCCGTAGATCAAGACTCGGAAGACTAAGTGTGATCTTTGCTCTCGTTTTTGGCATTCAAGTGTGTTTAACGTGCCTACGTCCATGATGACTAAACGATTTTTCAAATTGAATAATATCTTGCATATATCATCTTTCCATGAACGTAAAGAAAATGATTGGTTTTAATTTTGATGTTCGACAAATAAAGGTTCCTTAATTGTAAGTGATGGAACAACTAAGTCTCTCATGAAAAGACAAAAGCACTATCTATTTGGGTTAATTAATATTTGAGCATTGGACCTAGATGAAGGAAAGTCCAAGGGTGCCAAATTAAAGAGGACTTGCCTGAAGCCTAATATCAAGCCCAAAGACAAATTGAAGTCTTCTCAACCAAAATGCAAGCCACATTTTTATTATTGAAGTAACAAGTGGTGAAGACTAACCTACTACCAGCCATATAACACTTTCTAGTGGCATTCCAAGTAAAAAACTGATGACTCACTACCCTCCAAGTGCTTTCAGGCAAGAACGAAGTTACAGAAGTCGGGATAATTTGCCTATAAAAGGAGGAGGATGCCCCAGAGACAAGGACACTCAACCAATCAAACAAACAAATATACAAACTCTGCTCTCAAGCCAGATTTGCATCCAAAAGTTGAAATCAACCCAAATTCAGTCCTTTTTAGCGACAAGCTATCTCTTGTCTAGTTTAAAACTCTGTTATCTCCCTTAGTGGCGTAGTATCGATTCCCTTGTGTAAACTTGTTTACCATCCATTCCTTTTTAGCATATAAACCACCCTTAATTCAAAGAGACGTGATTGCAAGAGGTTCAACCTTGACAGACAAGGTGAAATCTTGCCCCGAAATTCTTTGTTTGTTTTCTAAGTTAATAGATATATTACTTAATGCACTCTCCAGTATGTATTCAAGTTATTTCCACCAGTTTTCCTATCTCAAGAGTTCCATTTGCATCTGGATCTAGTTAGTTTAATGGATATGTTATCATTAAAAGCAATCTAAGACCAAACAAATGACTTAAGGGGATTTGGACTCCCTTCATTCAAACATACAAGACTATGAACTAAAAGTCCTTATTTATAAGGTAAGAAAAAGAACTTAATGTAGACTTAACTCATCTGCGACAATCCTTTGATAACAAGAAGTCCGAGTAACTTGGGGCACAAGTAATCGACTTAAAACACTCTTGTTCTACATCTGCTATACTGAGATAGCAGTGGCACTCAGTTAGTTTTGATTGCGAGCCTGAAGGCCTACACATAAGGCCCCACAAAGGCACCTTTCAGAACTAACTTTGTCTTCTTCTTGTAGCATATCAACAAGCAAGAGCCCGACTACACATCCAAAATGTCAATCCCTTGAGGAGTTGTGAGGAGGTCCAAGGATACTTTTCCAGAGAAATCTTCGCCCGGACACTATCCTTTACAATATATCATGAGGTCTTTCATAAAATAAAATAGTAAGTTTACATTCTTTCTTTTTTTTTAATAATCGGAAACACTACTAAATCAAGTTTAATATAAGGAAAAATTAGTATATGGTCATTAGTTTCTAATGTTCATTGATTAAAACCTTATCAATTTTTAGATTTTAATCAAAGTTCCGAGTATTAATATATTAATGAATCACATGTGAGTTACATAATTTTTATAATAAAAGTTGGTAACTGATTTAGAGTTTTAATACTTACACCCTTATTAAACTCCTAATTAACTTTCAATTCAAACATTTTCAAAAAATAAAAAATAAAATTAGAATAAGTTTGTACCCATAAAATTTTTATAAAAAAAAAAAAAAGATTTCAATTTTTCAATCTTATATGTACCCATTCTTAAATATACTAATTTGTTATATGAAAAATGTACCCTTTTTTAATATAAAATGTACCTATTTTTTATATAAAATTCATTCAATCTTTTCTCCAATCAATTTTTTTAACTTATATGGACACATTCTATTTCGTTGAATTGAGAATGTAGACATATCTAGTTTAATATAATAAATTTAATAATGTTGTTAAGCCTAATATTTTTTTTTTTTTTGTCTTTCATTTTAAATATTTTTGATCACGTAAATTATAGGTTTTATTTAAAATTTTATTAATATAAATCTATAATTTTTAATTTTAATTTAAAAATATAATAACCTACATAGAAATATATTATTACATTAATATTAGGAATTTCAATCAAAACCTAAAAATCACAAAAATTTCAGTCAAATAACATTGATAGTTAAGGCCTATATCCAAAATGTCCCATTGGTAGTTGATTTACGGTTTACCTATCTTGATCTTGTTTCTATACCGATATCCCACAATTCACATCACACTAACAAACAAACAAACAAATAAAATAAAGATACTGTCAGTGACTCAGTATATGTCACACACATGCCACATAAGCTTATTAAATTACACGTAACCGCATCAACAATTAAATAAAACTAGCATTTGCCTACATATTTTATATGTATGAACATATTTTTTTAGAAAATGAGAAGGAAAGAGGGAGAGAGAGAATAGAGGGCGGGAGGTTTTTGTTTTTTTTTAATTTTTTTAATATTGAAGGTATTTTAACATTATTTGAGGTGAGGCTTCAATAAAAAACAGTAAAATTTAAACCTATGAAATTACATTATTATCCTTTTTTTTTTTTTTTTTGTATAATATAAGATTAATTCTTCTTTTTACTCTATTTTGGTTCACAAAAGATTAGTTCTTCTTTTTCCGCCACATCTTCTTCTTCCTCCTACCTGCCTTCTTCCCCAATCTCTCATCCTCCTCTCTCTCTCTCTCTCTCTCTCTCTCTCTCTCTCTCTACTTTCTCTCTCTTCATCTCCTAAAAATAAGATCTTGAGCTCACTACCTCTCTCTCTCTCTCTCTAAAACTCAAACACCCCATCAATCAAAAACCCAACTTTTCTTTTCTTTTCTTTTCTTTTCGTCCAAACAGACCCTCCAAATCCGAATGGATCTGGCCCCAGAGGAGCTCCAATTTCTCACCATCCCTGACATCCTCAGAGAATCCACCTCCATCCCCAAACAGTCCCCCAAAACCTTCTACCTCATAACCCTAACCCTAATCTTCCCTCTCTCCTTCGCCATCCTCGCCCACTCCCTCTTCACCCACCCTCTCCTCAACCAGCTCCAAGCCCCTTCCACCGACCCCGCCCAGCTCCACCACGAATGGACCCTCCTCCTCCTCTTCCAATTCTGCTACCTCATCTTCCTCTTCGCCTTCTCCCTCCTCTCCACCGCCGCCGTCGTCTTCACCGCCGCCTCCCTCTACACCTCCAAGCCCATCTCCTTCTCCAACACCCTCTCCGCAATCCCAAAAGTCTTCAAGCGCCTCTTCATCACTTTCCTCTGGGTCTCCCTCCTCATGTTCTGCTACAATCTCGTCTTCGTCGGCTTCCTCGTCCTCCTCATCCTCGCCATCGATACCCAGAATTCCTTTCTGCTCCTCTTCTCCGGCATTGTCATCTTCCTCCTCTTCTTGGTCGTCCATGTCTACATCACCGCGCTCTGGCACTTGGCCAGCGTGGTCTCCGTGCTCGAGCCCGTCTACGGGTTCGCCGCCATGAAGAAGAGCTATGAGCTGCTCAAGGGGAAGGTTGGGATGGCCTTCGTGCTCGTTTTCGGGTACTTGACCATCTGCGGGGTTATCAGTGCGGTTTTCGGGTCGGTGGTGGTGCACGGCGGGGAGAATTACGGGGTTTTTGTGAGGATTGTGGTTGGTGGGTTTTTGGTGTGTGTCCTGGTGATTGTGAATTTGGTTGGATTACTATTGCAGAGTGTGTTTTACTACGTCTGCAAAAGCTACCATCACCAGGGGATTGACAAGGGCGCTCTGCACGATCATCTGGGTGGGTATCTCGGAGAGTATGTGCCTCTCAAGAGCAACATTCAGATGGAAAACTTGGATGTCTGATGGGAAAGGAACAAGATTGCTTGAATTGAATTTGTAAGTTTCTCTGTACTAAATGCTTGTAAAGAAAAAACAAAAGACAGATAAGAAACACGACTTTTGTGGAATGGAGTTTAGTCTATACATGCTTGTTAATTTTGTTTTACTTAATAAACATTTGAGCTAGTTTTCGAGTCTAATTGCTTTAGTTTGCCGGGAATTATACTTACCGCGTTGTGATGAATGCCGGAAAACTTTTATGTAATTGCACATTGTTATATGTCAACAGATTAATTCTAAACTTCGATACCCGAATTCGATTGTTAACATTCATTAGTAAAGTCAACCGTTAGAGCCAATGAAGTTTGCTTTATCTTGTGATGTTACTTATCTTGTATTTGGTTTGGTCCTTTGCCATGTTCTAGGGGTGAGGTTGTGTTTGCCTGATTGGAAAACCTTTAGGTTGTTTAGAAATATATAAATATGTACCGAAGTCAAAGACTTGACTATCATCTTAACAGAAGGAGCCTGTTCTCTGAGTAGTTTGCATTCCTGTTGGATCGTATGCGAGGTAGCATTGTTTATTAGTTTTAAGTTTAGCCCAATATTCAGAAAGATCTGTATCTCTGTTTATTGTATGGACATAGACAGCTTAAATTCAGTCTATATCTACTGCCACTTGACTATACAGTAGTGTTCTTGGTTCTGTTGGACCGCTAAATTAATAAATGGCGAGAGTTACAAGTTATGTATAGGACCAGAACACGTTGACTATTGCGATCTCTTATGGAGGTTCGATGTATCAAACCTCCAGGTCTCTAGAGTTAGAGGTTTTGATCTTATATGTTTATGATCACCAAGTATAGTAAGCTTGTAGACCTTTACGGGAAGGTTTATTTCCATAATTTAAGCTCCTAGATGGAAGAAACTTATTGAGTGCAAGTGATTATGAATGGCTTATGTTTTCTGTTTACGAAAACTAGTGTTTTACCAAAAGGGAGTCGTGGGCTCCGAGGTGGAGTATTCTTTAGGTAAAGCATGTCTCCTGGGGACGATTCATCATTGTCTACATTTCCTTAAACCATCTGGTGGATCTTGATTCCATTTGAATCTTTTTCAAACAGTTTCCATAATTCGAGATCTCTACTTTCGGTTTGGTTTGCTTTATGATGAAGCCTTAGAGGTTAGCTATAATCGGTTAGGTTAGGATAGGTCTAGGTACGATTCCGCAAATGTAAGCAAACAACATTTACCGACAGATCGAGGGGTGTGTGCAAGATCATTTATATGTCGAAATCTTTGTGGATACATACCATCTAACATTTGCAACTTATGCTTATTTCTCATCAAGATTTGAGTTCCATAAGAACGCGGGAATGTAGAAATTTTTAATCTTGTATTACGAAATTGTGCTTAGGGTTATCTTAACCTACATTTATTTTGAAGAATTTGGTGGCAAATCATATAAATTTTCCGATTACAAAGAGATATCAGCATATCAATAATCCAGCCTCCCCAAGAAATATTATTACATGATCAAGTTTGCTCTTCGCCTCGATCTCCACTGTTTGACTGGCACCTGCTTATAACTAATGTTACATTTATAAGTTGTGGCCATGAATCTTTCGAAGTTCTCCGCAGGGAATTCAGTTTGGCAATGAATTTATTCTGACGTTGATCGAAAACATGGCTCGCGAAATGGAACTGTTTAAAGTTTGCTCTTAGCAACACCAACTGGTTTGTCTCTAGACCTTCGCTCCACAGCTCGGGAAAGTTGCTTCACTGCCTCCTTCGGAAAATACGCCGGTTTGGTCAGCCACTCTCCCCCGTCTACAACCAATGTTGTTCCGTTGATGTATTTTCCTTCAAGCACCAAACAAATTAATAAGATCATGTCTCCATACACGTGAGAAATCCGAAAGAACCCTAGCATCGACTGACTATTTTCGAAACAGATAATTCAACGAAGGAGATTGATTTCGAACCTGCATCGGATGAAAGATATAGAGCGGCCATGGCAATATCCCATTTCTGCCCTAGTTTGGATACAAGAATCTGCTCTTTGGGTTTGTTCAGCATCTCCTGAGGTAAAAGTTTACTGAAACCGGCAGTGTCTTCGATAGGTCCCGGTGCGATGCCATTCACTCTAATATCATAGTCTGTGCCCCACTCCAACGCCAAGCTTCTCGTAATGCTGTCGACGGCTGCCTGGTAACATAGAGGAACCCGAATCAATCAGGACGGTCACAGACCGATCAAAAGTACACACACGGGAGCGAAGATATGGCAAAGTTTTCGGTTACTTGACAAACCTTTGCTGCAGACACATGAATCTGATACCAAGTAGCTGTGTAGTGCAACGTCGCGCTTATGTTTATTATCGATCCACCAGCAGCCGAGTTCTTCCCTGATGCTCCTTTCTTAAGATACTTGAGCGCTTCGTGACACATTGTGAAGGTGCCAACGGCGTCTATGTCTATAACTGCAGGAACCAATTTACGGAATAAGAATGCGTTTTAACAGTCTAAGAGCTTTTCAACAGGAGTAAAACTAAACAAGCTATGTTTTTTTATGATCGTAAAGATTCAACCTGTTCGAAATCCGTTTGGGGATAGATCCTCGGACGGGACAAGGAAATTTCCGGCTGCAGCATTCACAAGGATGTCAAGCCTACCAAAATGCTTCACTGTCGATTCCAAAACTCGAGCTGCATCGTCTCTTTTTCGCACGTCGCCCTCAAATCCGATAGCCTGCAAGCAACAAATACAACAATCCCAATATCTCAGCAAACACTAGAGCAATTTGCACATTTGAATCAATATAATGTAAGGAATGTTAAATTTATCACTGCAGATAATCAGTAAAAGCAAATAGTTAGAAGCTAAACATATGCATTCGACATTTTCTGTTGAATAAAGCTAAAAGTCCAACATCAGTCATCAACCATCTTAAAAAATAAATCACAACTTACATGAAAATGTTTCACTTATAATTGAATCGACGTCTTCTGCATAAAAACCCCACATCTATTGATTACATGAGTAATTAAGTGGGGACACAATGTCGATGCTATTAGTGCCCGTCTCTTTAAAACTTTAACATAGTATCAGTGCGTGTTTTCAAATCTACGTCCAAATTAATGGGTCCACTTACAAACACGATTGATGTAGCTCCACGTCAGCCCAACTCAAAGTGGTCCGACGTGAGGGAGCAGGTTCAACAAAGCCAAAAATCTCACATGGTCATCTTACATTATAAATCACAACTTACATCAAATGGTTTCACTTCTAATTGCATCGATGTGATCAGTGATGGACTGCAGCCCGTCTCAAATTTAACAGAATAACTACTCTGACTAGAGAATTTGGGGAATATACATGTTTTTTGCACACACAGTTACATATTTGATCAGAAAACACAGCAAACAGCTGAAATAAATTTTCTTTTTGTCCTAAATTTTCCCAGCAACCTAACAGAAAACAAGCATCACCGAACAAAGCCCATAAAACAAAATCAACAGCAAAGAAAACAACACAAACACAAGATACTGACAGATACTGACAGATACCCAGATCTACTACAATTGGAGCAAATTACAGTTAAAAAATGGGTGCTAAATTAAAGAGTGAGAAAATTACAGAAATGCCTTGAGAACGAAGGGCTTGGACGGCAGAGTCAATGACATGCTTACGACGGCCCATGACGGCAACCGAAGCTCCATGTTTGCCCAGCTGAACCGAAATCTCGTACCCGATTCCTGATGCTCCTCCGGTCAGCAAGGCCACCTTTCCCTTCAGTATCTCCGCCTTGAATGGCGACTCCATTGCTTTCTCCCTCTGCTGACCCAAGTTTCTAACTTTTTCTGGTTTGGAGTTTAAGGAACAACTTCTGGAGGTCGTTGTTTCGGCAAATCATACGTGCGAAATTACATTAGCAGCCTTTCCGCGTAACTCGACTCTTCAACGGGACCATTAACTTATATCGGGTCCACATGAATGGACCTCTTATTTTTAGCCCAACTTTAATTTTTTTCATAAGAGATAATGGGATATCAAATATTTGGCCAATTATATTGTACACCTTTCTCCTTTCCCATTTTCAATTTAATTTTCTTCACGTTATATCTTGAGGTTTTAAAATCGTTTCATTTTGGCTCTTCATCTATTTGACCCTATGATTTTTTGTTTAAACTTAATGACGCGGCATATATAGAACTCAATTTTAGGCTGCGTAAAAGACAAACATACACTATTGGAACCAGATAAATGCTAAGGAAATTCTCATGTTTTTTAGCATAATATTTTATAATGTTGGCACAAAAATTAAACGTTAAACTGTGAGGTGACAAATAGTACATAAAGAATTATACTTTAAGATAGTATCATTAACGTTTCTCCTAAAACTAAAATATATCAATGGATGTCGATGTTATTATTAAAAAAAAATTGTTATCAACACTTGAAAATATCAGCATGCGCTTCTTCGTGCGTGCGGGTAAAATTATGATACAGCCCGAACTTCACTTGTAATATTGGAAAGGACAATGCATGCACGGCTCACTTGTGAATATTCACATAATATGCTTATTAATAAAAAGAGGAGATGGGAAAGCATCAAACTCCACTTGTCAACGAAAACCTATGCCACATTACATTTTGATTAGGGTTAGCATGGGACAAAATTAGTTTGATTTACTTAAATTAAACCTAGGCACCAGTTTGTTTGTGTTTAAAAATCGTGATCTATTTTGTAAGGGCAATTATATATGGGATGTGCTATCCACACATCTCTTTTTACTTCTCACACATATTTTATTAATTTATGTCCCATGATCTTCTTTAATTCATCCAATCCAACGATCGAAAATTAAAAAAGTGTGTGAGAAGTAAAAAGGGATGTGTGAATATCACACCCCTTCTATATTGTTGGTATCCATTAAATTTTCCCAAATCTTGGTTTTTTTTTTGTTTTTTTTTCTGCTACTTGTGTGTGATTTTCTTCCGATCATGTTAGTTTTGCATTCATATTTGTAAGAATATGAGAACAAAGTTTTATGTCCGTAACGGACAAATTCATAAAAAAAGCTTATAAAAAATTGGAGTTCTATCATAAAATTACTTAGTAATAAGAGAATAACTCAACTCTTATAATCTCTTGCATGGTTTGATCCGTCATCGATTTAGAACTTTACCCTCATATT